GCTCAAGGCCATTCTGCTGCAGCAACAAGCATAATTTGAGGCATCCCAACTCAGGCTGATCGAAACTCTTACGCGCCAACTCTCAATCCAGACTGGTTCACTGTCTACAACCGTCAAGCCGTCCGCATCGGTAGACGCCAACACTAACAGCACCACCGAATTTTCGTACCACCCTGCTGCTGGTCTCACTTTTGAATCTTGGTTCATGCGTTATGAAGATGTGTTCCGCGTTGAACTTGGAGACCACGATGACGATTGGAAAGTACGATTGCTGTTAAGGAAACTTGGAACAGCAGAGCACTCCAGGTATGTCAACTTTATTTTACCTAGGAACACTCGAGACTACACTTTTGAGGAGACTGTCAAATGCTTAGACCAAATATTTGGAGAGCAGTCATCCATTTTCAACACGCGATATCAATGCCTGAAGATCACCAAGGTGGACGCTGATGACTACATCACTTGCGCTGGCATCGTCAATCGCGAGTGCGAAAAATTTGACATCAAATCCATTACGCCAGATCAATTCAAATGCCTGATTTTTATCTGTGGCCTACATTCCCCACGGGATGCAGAGATTCGCACCAGGCTGCTGAGTAAACTTGAACAAGACCAGCAAATGACCCTACAGACCATAACTAATGAATGCCAAAGATTGCTGAACCTCAAGCACGACACGCTTATGCTGGAGAAGCAACAATCAACTCCAAGTCTTAATGTATTAAAAACAACCTCAAAAAACCCGCTTCCAAGTGAAACAGACCATGAAAAGTCCAGAGAGAATCCCAAGCCCCCGATTGCCTGTTGGAGATGTGGTGAGTAGCATTTTGTTCGAGTGTGTCCATTCCTGAAACACGTTTGCCACAATTGCCAGAAACGGGGCAATAAGGAAACGAACTGCCGATCCAGATTGCAGTTCAAGCGTGCAAGATACACGCGACCGAATTCAAATATTTCCAAAAGATTCAGCAGCTATAGTACGGTTTAGGCGGCCTATTCTGATGAACATGTGACTCGCAGAAAGTACATCAGAGTTCAACTGAACGGGCAACAAGTGCGTCTTCAGCTAGATATAGCCTCGGACATCACAATTATCTCCAGCAAAACTTGACAGTATATTGGTGCTCCGTCAATCAGCCGAACGACACATGTTGCACTTAACGCTTCAGGAGATCAACTTAATCTCATTGGTGAGCTGCAGTGTGAAATGGTTTTTGGCGCTGCTCGGGCAAACGGTGTCGTGTACATTACGGGCCTGTCACACTTGAATATTTTTGGATTCGACTGGATCCAGAAGCTCCACCTGTTCGACATTCCCCTGAGTCAAGTCTGCAATACCCTCCGGCTCGGATATACGAGGCCCTCTTCGGAAGGCGACGAACCAAACAACAACCTGATCGAGCAGCTAAGAAGGAAATTCCCGTCTCTGTTTTGCAACGACTTGGGAAGATGCACAAAAGACCAAAGCAAGCCTTACTCTCAAAGACGGTGCCAAACCCGTATTCCGACCCAAAATACCGGTACCGTACGCTGCGCTGCCGATTGTTGATGCGGAACTTGATCGTCTGGAGCGGCCGGCGTCATCCAACCTGTGAACTATTCAGCGTGGGCAGCACCTATTGTTGTCGTCAAGAAGACCAATGGAACCGTTCGTATCTGTGCTGACTACATACGGGATAGAAGGCTGCTTTGAAAATGCACCAGTATCCTTTGCCAGTCTCGGAAAATTTATTTGCTAAGCTCAGTGGTGGCGCTTACTTTTCAAAGCTAGATTTATCAGATGCTTATCTTCAAAATGAAGTCGACAATGCTTCGAAGGAATTGCTGACAATCAATACGCACCGAGGTCTTTACCAGTTCAACCGTTCGCCGTTTGGTGTCAAATCAGCTCCCGCGATTTTTTAACTAAGTATGGATACCATGTTCGCTGGGTTATCAGGAGTCGCAGCTTACTTGGACGACATCGTAATCAAAGGGGCTACCTTTCGAGAGCTGACGGAAAGACTGGAAGCAGTTCTCCACCGCGTTAACGACTACGGTTTTCACTTGAAAGCAGAAAAGTGCAACACTGGCATGAAGTGTGTAAAGTATCTTGGCTTCATCATCGACAAGGATGGCCGTCTTTCGGATCCTTCCAACATAAGTGCCATAAAACAGATACCTCCCCTGACAATGTCGCGAAGCTCAGATCATTCTTGGGGTTGATCAGTCATTACAGCTCGTTTGTGCCCGAAATGCATCGGCTACGAGGACCGTTCAATGAACTTCTGGTAAAGGATCGCAAATTTGTGTGGTCTGAATATCAAGCCGCATTTGATAATGTCAAGTTTATATTATGTCCTGACCTATTGCTAACGCATTTCAATCCGGAGCTAGAGATTATAGTTGCTGCTGACGCGTCAGACTACGGAAATGGAGCAGTCATATCCCACATTTTCCCCAATGATTCGGAGAAAGCTGTGGCACATGCAGCCAGATCACTCACCTCAGGGGAACGCAACTATGGGCAGATCGAGGAAAAAGCTTTGGCTATAGTGTTTGCAGTCAAGCGACTTCACAAAATGCTCTACGGACGAAAATTCACGCTGTTTACTGACCACAAATCCTTGGTCGCAATCTTTGGATCAAAGAAAGGCATTCCAGTTTGCACGGCCAGTCGTCTCCAACGCTGGGCAACTGTTCCACTTGGTTACGATTTCGTCGTCAAATATCAATCTTCACAGAACATTGGTCAAGCAGGTGCGTTATCTCGTTTAATTGGTACACAGCATCAAGAACCAGAGGATTTGGTAGTTGGTCAAATCTCCGTAGAACCCCAAGTACATCAAGTTGTGTCTGAGATTTTCGGTGCCTTACCAGTAACGTTCGAAATGGTACAGGAAGCGACCCACCACGATTCTACCCTACAAAAAGTGATCCATTTCCACCTCAATGGCTGGCCTAAGAGAGTCACAACGCCGGAGCTTCAAAAATTCCACCAACGGAAGAAAGCACTATCAGTCGTCAGAAATTGCCTGCTGTTCTCAGATCACGTGGTCATTCCTCACATCCTTCAAGAGAGAGTCCTCCAACAATTTCATACTGGCCACCCAGGAATGAATCGCATGAAATCGCTGGTACGAAGCCATGTGAATTGGCCCTATATGGATTCCCAGATCGAGAATTTAGCCAAGAATTGTCCCCGATGTGCTAGCGTATCTAAACAACCAAGGAAGACGAAATTGCAATCCTGGCCAATACCAACGGAACCATGGGCAAGGGTACACATCTACTTCGCGGGTCCAATTGACGGTCATCAATTTCTCATCGTTGTCGATGCCCACAGTAAATGGCCGGTGATTCCAATGGTGAGAACCACCAGAGCAGCCACCGTCTCCGCTCTCCGACAGATATTTTCTCGTTTCGGTGTTCCCCACACGTTGGTTTCGGACAATGGCACACAATTTACCTCATCTGAATTTGTCGTCTTCTGTCGCAGAAACGCGATCGTCTACGTAAGGTCTCCACATTTTCACCCACAATCGAATGGGCAAGCGGAACGCTTTGTGAATACACTTAAAAGAGCTTTGCTAAAAATGTAGGAGGAAGGTATCTTGGAGGAGATTCTTGACATTTTTCTCCTGACGTATCGCACAACTCCGGATCCGCAGATACCGAACGCCCTATCTCCGGCTGAAACTTTGTTTCAAAGGAAAATCCGTGTGCCGCATGATGCCCTCAGACCCAGGAAGGATCAGTTGCTGTCCCGCAACTATCAGATGGAGCATCAATTCAACATCCGACACGGTGCGCGGAAGCGAACCTTTAATGCTGGTCAACAAGTTCTGGCGAGAGATTATCGCATCCACTATCCTAAATGGGCTATGGGCCATGTGCTATACAAACGTGGTAACGTGATCTACGGTATCCAGGTTGGGACGGCAATTTGGGTAAGACATGCCAATCAGCTGCTAAAGGCACGGACTAGCGAACAAGTGCAACAAGTACCAGCAGCGCAGTTACCTCTGGACATACTGGCCGAAGCGGGTGAAGCAAAGACCACCTAACATGTCCCAACACAGCGAGCACAACATTCGCCCCGAAACCTAGCAGCAAAGAGGCCGAAGCGGCGACGCAAATTCGTGTCACCCATGCAAGTCAACCCCAAGCTGAAATCGTACAACACAACTCAAAGGGGGGAAGTGTTAGGAAGGAATACGCGAGTCGAACAAGCCAGGACCCCATCGCCGCGGCCGGCGATCCAAACTCATCCGCCCTGATTGGGGCGAACAGAAAGCCAACCAGGAGAAGTGGCCAATGAACGCTGGGTCGAAGTTCCTTTATTGGCTGTAAGTTAACCTTACCAGATCTTTCCACAGTCGCTTTAAACACCACTCACGAAGTTTCCATTTTACCTTTATATTGAACAGTGTGATTTGCTATTTCATTCTTGTTGCTCTGCTCGTCCGATCCGGTCTTCTCTCTGTCCTGTGGGGGGCCAGGGATTTCGGGTTTGATTGGAAATCAAGTGTCCATTCAGGCGGGGGACGAACACGTCATCTTGTATGCGGGTTTCTGAGCCGCCGCGCAGATCGATTCAGAGAGAGTGAAGAGTGAGTACTAATTTTGCATGCTGTCCGATCTGACATTGAACGAACCGATGTGAATATAATTACAAGGTGGTGACGACATGACTGGTCTCTGAAGTGCGTGACGGCTCCGTCCAACATGACGTGGTCGTATTAAAAGCAGCAAAAAGTAGGCTCCACAAACTAAGCACCTATCGACAAGCGGACAAATAGCATTTCTTGAGGACGTTTCCCGCACTATCAATGCGAGAAATCAAAAGGGAAGTGAGAAGTTGCCGAATTATTCTATTCAACATGAACGGAGAAATCAGATGAGGACTGAAAATGAAAATGATTCAGGCCTTTCCGTTGAAAGAAACTCCAACCCGTGCACTGATTTTAAACGCAAAGTTGTCGAATTGCGAAACACAGATGTCGCACCAAACAACTTACAGGGATGGAACCATTTCGATCACCTGCAAGTGAATAGGAAAGGAAGGCGGGAGTCATTAATTAATTGGAGGAATGCTCGACATGAAGTCAAACCTTTCAAACTAATGCACAAAATAACACCAAAGAAACATCACCATGAGAGATATAAATGAGAACAAATGATGAATTTTCCGCCAACAACGGAAGATTTTTTAAATATTCCTAATATGTGACAATGTACAGTTGATTTGGGTACTGAAGTTTGCGCTCAGTTCACTATCAACAAAATAGTTAGTAGCCATCGAGTGCGGGGATCTCCAATAAGGTAAACCAGGAAAGAACTGTCTAGACTACTCAACCTTGACTATCACATTTTACTTTGCTATGATGCACATTGCTTTATATCAGAGGTAAGAATACTCCATCACTCCAGGTTGTTTTGTGAGTTTTACCCCACTCACCCTATTCACCCCGCCCTCTTTTACGGTTCCTCGCATATGTTCACTTTTGCCTCACACTTGTGATTAGCTTGTATGGACACTGAATCTTACGCTTATTATCTTTTCTCATACTTTGTGTATTTCGCTCGTTCGTGAAGCAACTTATGGACCCTCCGATTTTTGAAATGACCAGCCTTGATTGACCGAATGCCAGGCTTTCAGCATAGCCTGTGTATATGCGGTGATTTGAAAGATTCGATTGCTTTGTACACACGAACGTGGTGGCCCGTTTGGAGTGCGGCGTGCAACATTGTTTTCTACCCGGTCGTTCGTGTTCTCACTACCGTTAGTGGGTGGAAGCAGTCGCGGGGTTTCGACACAACACACATCCCCTGAGGGCACGCCATGCAAGGAGCCGTCCGTGGCATTTCCATGTCGTGAACTCGGAATATGGTGCCAAAAAGGGAGCTTCGAGTCCAATTCGTGAGTCACATCAGTACACTAACTTCCACAGCGCAGTACCAGTACAGCATAATCGGAGTTTAATCAGATCTCTCGCCTTCCGGGTGCGCAGTATTTGTACACCGGATACCTTCAACGAAAAAGTACAGAGAATCAACGACGCCCTCAGGGAAAATGGCTATCCTGATAAATTCATCATGAAACATTTGAAAGAACGTAATCGAAAGCCACCTAGGAGCATTGCTCCTAAGAGCTTTTCATACATATAGCCTTTAAGGGTGAATCTGCAGCTGATATGTTATCCAGACGCCTGAAAGATGCTGTCGAGAAAACTTATCTCGCGGCCCGCCTGAGAATCGTTTTTCATAATAAGCTGTTGCTTACAAAACCCTTGAAGGATAGATTGTCGTCGTTGACTCGTTCAATGATCATTTATCAGTACTCGTGCTCCTGTGGTGCACGATACGTGGGTAGTACGACAAGGCGCCTATCTCAGAGGATTCCTGAACCCATCCCGGCATGGTTTTACAAAGACGAAATGAGGTCTTCAGACAGCTCAATCATGTCGCACCTCCTTGAATGTGGCCATACAACTTCAGAGAATGACTTCAAAATCATTTACTCACTACCTGAACACTTCTCCAAAAGATTCTGCAAACAGCTCTTATCCATCGCCGAGGCTATCTACATTCACCAGCTGAAGCCGGAATTATGTGTACGAAAACGATTCATACTGCCGATACTACTACTTTGGCCAACGGACACTGTTACATAGTTATTTGATTGTTATTTTACCTACTTAATTACTTTGGACTACTGAGCATTATGTATGCATGTTTATTTAGTTTACTTGGTTTACCGTCTCTATCTCTGTCTCAAATTATCAATGTTGATCGCTCAAACAGTCCAGAAGTCAATCCCAGCCCGAGTTGACGCTTTCCCCACAATCAGTGTTATGTAAGCGTTTGGGCATGATGAAGTTTTGCCGAAAAGAACCCTTCATCCTGAACTGATTTCTGATACTGATTACGATTAATGAAATGGGGATCTTTGATTTGCAAAAGACCAACATTGCTCGTGATTCAATGGAAAGATAATCCTCAAAAATGGCCGCAAAAACTAGCAAGGTTGCATAACTTCATGCAAATGAATGAACAAGGATACGGTGACGACCACGTAGTGGTGTCACGTGATTACCCACGAGTTAAAAGTTATGACCAGTACCGTGTTGCAAAAATCCCACCGACGCACTGTGCATCTGAAGGTTGCTTTCGCAATCCTCGGGGTGGCTGCGCTTGATGTGCATGTTGACTAGGTGCCTACCTGTCTATTACCCACTACCTCGTCCATACTGGCTCCAGGAGACAGTTGGTCGTTGCTGGAGGGGACGAGTTCACGGCCCTTGTGGTCGCGCCAGGCTCGAAAACCGGTCCATGCACACAGTGTGGAGCGGACTACGGTCCAGCCACCGCCTTGTGTGCGCTTGATTCCCCAAATACAGCGTGCTTGTGTTTGCCTCGGAAGGAGTGTGGGCCGGCTCCGTTGATGAAACGTGGCTCCCATCCACATGCCTCCCGGTCTTATTTCTTCGGGTTTACAATGGATATGGGGTGTGTGGATGGAGCTGTGGGTGGTGCAGCGCAAGCCCCTCATGGTCCCTCTGTAGGCGCACTCGGTCGCAACGAGACTGGACCTTAACGTGGTGCGACGGTTTGCATACCTCAATGACCCATTGAGCTATACTGGGTGGTGCCTCCGGGCACCTTGAGAGCTACTTATACCAGGTTGGTCAGTGGTGAGAGGTCAGACAAACTCAGTCTCCTGGTCCTCCAGGTTGGGGGTTTGAAATGGGATGGCGTCCATTTCTGTAAAACTAAATCATTGACACCTCCCCGCTGCCTTGCGGACAGGCTTTTGAGCCAAAGGCTTTGGATGAGGACCATAATCGTCCTCCTGTCTAGGTTTGGGCGCCATGGTAGTATCTCAGCCCACATACAACCATGACATTTTCTACAAACATAAACTTCATCCTGCATCGGCCGTCGCGCAGATTATCAAGGGTGGCCTTATCTGCTGCATACAGCAGGGCGGATAAAAGAAAACATGCTACTGCTGGCGCCTCCTTTCTTTCTTTTCCACCTGTTTCTCTTACTCCCATACCGATCTCCATTACTAACCTTCCTTCTACAATTCCCAGCTTAATTGACAGCAACGAAGTGCCACTGAGTAGAATCATCTACAGCCACCATCCCACAACACCTATCGGCAAAAGTCCCTTATAAGGCCACGCTATCCCGTTTCCATGGCGACATTCAACGTCTGCACTCTAGGACAAACAAGTCAACAGGCTGCACTCGCACGCACCTTGGACACACTGGGTGTTGATGTGTGTTGTGTGTCAGAAACTAGGATCAATGACATTAACGGGTTTATTGAATTGACTGCACCCGGCTTATCCTCTCGTTACTGGTTGCGCGCATCCGGAGACGCCGATGCGGCACTCGCGGGTCAAACTGGTGTAGGTATCATTCTAAGCTCCAAGGCTTAGTCATTGTTGGTTGATTGGATTCCCGTGAACAGCCGTTTATGTGCAGCGCGTTTGACGACATCAGCTAAGGTGAATTCGCGAAGTAGTACAAAACGCTGTTTGTTTGTGATTTCCGTTTATGCTCCCACCGACTGCAGTTCAGATGTTCTCAAGGACACATTCTATCACGAACTGAACGCGCTACTACGCAGTGCTACTAGTTCAGATATTATAGTACTTGCAGGGGATATGAACGCACAAATAGGGCACTGCTCATCGTCACCGCACCAGTCACTGGATATCCGAGAGGTCTGTGAAACTGATAGAATCTAGAAGAAACCTCCCGGTTGGCTCTGAACACAATGTAACCAGACGGGCTATTAGGCGTGCACTAAAGCGCAGCCTACGTGCTGACAAGGAAGCCTGGTGGGCCAGTAGGGCTCAAAAAATGGAGGAGGCAGGAAGAGTAGGCAGTTACCGCAAGCTTTTCCAGCTAATCTACATCACTGGTCCCAGGAAACCAGGCGTCAGTGAGACAATCAAAGACAGCGCGGGTGCGCTGATACACAATAAGGAGCGCCGTAAGGCTCGTCGGGCGGAACACTTTCAAGATCAGTTCAGCTGGCCCCCTGCTCACGGACCTCTACCTCTGATGCAGGACGAGCCATGGACGGTTAGTTTAGAGCCTCCGTCAGAGGCCGATGTCCGAAACGCGATCACAGCCCTCAATCGTTTTCGTGCCGCTGGCCTGGATTCCCTCCCACCTGCACTATTTAAGGATGTAGGTTAGGTCCTCTGCAAAGCACTGACCTCCTTATTCCAATTTATCTGGAAGGAAGAGAGTGTCCCAGCTAATTGGAGCGAATCGATTATAGTGGCAATATACAAGAAGGGAAATCGTACAGATTGTTCTAACCACAGGGGTATTAGCCTAACGCCAGTTGTGACAAAGTTACTGGCCTCGATTATCGTTCGTCGCCTCACTGCGGAACGGGAATCTCGGATTAGGGAAGAGCAGGCCGGTTTCCGCCCAGGAAGTGGCTGTATAGACCATATACTCACTTTGCGACAGGTGCTAGAGCAGCGCCACGCATACCGCAGACCGACAATAGCTGTGTTCCTCGATTTCAAGAGTGCGTTCGATTCAGTCGATCGATCGATTCTGTCCGAAATACTTGCGCGAAAAGGTGTTCCCACGAAATATGTGAACAGCCTTCGTGCTCTATACTCGAACACTACAGGGTTTACGGTGTCCTATCGGATAGCTTTCCGACTACAAGTGGCGTTCGTCAGGATTGTCCGATTTCCCCATTTTTGTTCAATTTCGTCGTGGATTCTATCATGGAGTGTTCCCTTGCAGAATCTCACGATGTAGACGTCGAAGTGCTGCCTGGTGAAAGGTTAGTTGACCTAGATTATGCGGACGATATCGTCTTGCTTTTCGACAATGTTGGGGCGGCACAATCAACTCTGAATAGCCTATTCAGAGTGGTCCCATTATTTGGTATGCACTTCGCACCTTCAAAGTGCAAAGTGTTGCTGCAGGACCACCAGCCACTCGATGACCCCTTGACGCTTGCTAACGAGGAACTCGAGGTGGTTGATCATTCCACTTATCTTGGCAGCTGCATCAGCAATGATGGGCGCATAGAAACTGACGTGAGCTCACGCATTGCAAAAGCGAGAGCTACTTTCTTGAACCTGCGGCATCTTTGGCGACAGAAGGGAATTTCAATCCGTCTAAAAGGCCGTGTATACAAGGCCACAGTGAGGGCCGTCCTACTCTACGGGAGTGAGACTTGGCCCCTTCGGTCTGAAGATCTGAGGCACCTTCAACTCTTTGATCATCGTTGTCTGCCAAGCATTGCTGGTGTCGGATGGCACCAGTGTGTCCGCAACGATGATGTGCGTAGGCGAGTACTAGGTGGTGATAATCATGCTAGCTCCCTAGAACAACAGATAGTACTGAATAAGTTGCGTTGGCTCGGGCACGTGCTACGCATGCCTGGTCACCGCTTACCTAGGAGGGCCTTGTTTAGTCTGCCAGGTGTAGGGTGGCGCAAGGCTCGAGGTGGACAGAAGTTGACTTGGCAGCGGGAAATGAAGTCACCGACGACCAAACTGGGTGCCGTTGGTCCGTCTCGCCTTCCGGGTTGAAGTCCACGTGACTCGCCTTGTGCTTGGCTCGAGACTCCACAGGACATGGCTCGCAGTAGACATCAGTGGCGCGTCTGCTGCCGTCTACTGATCAGATTGCCTGTTTAAAGTGTGTTTGGTGCTGAGTTATCTGCGCGGTAATGGCTGATTATGACGCGTGGCAGTGAAAGCCGCAAGGAAGCTGTCTCACCGATGCCGCCTTATCTTTGCACGATAGCCAGCTGTTTGTGACGGTATGTTGACAACACAAGGTGTAGGCGCCTTGACGTTGAATGTTTGCTTAGGGATTAACGTTTTCAGGTAAGTCCCTCTTCTCTTCCTCTTCTTATTCTTTATTTCATAGGTCTTCATGGTTGTATGGCAGCGAAGCATCAGTTTAAATGGCTGATATACTGATGTTGATGATGATGATGATGTAGGCGCACTCGTCCTGTGGCTGGCTACAGTGACAGGCAAATCCGCAACCGAAAGTCGTCAACCAATCTCAGCAGTCTAGCAAATAGACACAGAACCAAACAAGAAACTATTGAGCTCAGCGGATAAGGGAAACTTTGTGCCTTGTGTTAAATGAGAATCTGGCGTGGCATTGCGATAAGCGAGCAGCATATATATCACAACGCCACGGGTTCAACAAAGCTCACAGCAAGGGTAACAATGACTGAGATAAATGGACAACTGATCCATTCTCAGCCGCGCCAACTAGTCCATTGGACGGAACATTTGAGGGGCAACTGAACCCACACGGTAAGTTTATGTCACTCCTCGAACCTGGGGACAGACTCAACATTACTTCGCGATGTTGAAACCAAAAAAAGATTCTGGACCCGAAGATTTTCCACCATTTTTCTGGAAGATAGAACCGGTTTGTTATTGACTAGATTGGCCGCCGTATTAAGCACGAATTGGGACACTGTTGTAGTTCGTCCTACTTGCTTTGACTCTGAGTCAGAACGATCGAACGTTTTTCACAGATGGTACCCCACAAGTGTAGACGCTGCGGGCTAACGAGACCTAACCGTCAGACGTACACACGAGCTGGGATTGGATACGAAAACGAATAACCTAGCACGACTGCAATGAGACTCAAACGCGAAAGAATGGTCGTTACAAAGAGTTATTTTACTTATTAGCCAAGGCGAGGCATGCCTTCTACACCTTCACTTTTATAGCACAATAGAATCGCAGGGCAATACATAATCTGTAGGCAAAGGTAAATGTTGGCAAGGCATATGTGTTGTCACCAAGTGGTGAAATCCTGAGAGGAACTCAGTTAGTGTCATTGTGGGTTTGTGCGGTAACTGCCGAAGCAACTGGTACACAGCGGTTTGATAGGATAGTTAAAACAGGGTCATGAGGAGAGCTCAGTGGGTTCGCTGCAGCTTGCACAGTGGATGCATCAGTGTCCTGAGTAGAGCTCAGTTGATTCTTTGTGGCTTGGAATCTATGTCAAGGGGACGGCTCGATTGTAACTAGCGCAGTCTTAGTTGTAGTCTGAGATTAGCCCAGGGAGCTATGCGAGTTCCGTACCAGCAAAACCCTCACTTCGAAATTGGCGTCAGTTGGCGCATCCCGATTGCCTGGATGGGGTCCTAAGAACTATGAACACGTTTGGTTGGATACACTTGCTGATATGGCTTGGAGCCGGCCCCAAAGGCATTTGTGTTGTGAGTTCCTATGCCCATCCCCCTTCTGCTTAGCATTCCTCTCCAATCGCGATCTCACTCGTTAGGCATAACATAACTTTTGCGGCACGATAGCCAGCTGTTAGCTCTCCGGAACGATGTCCATCCGTTACTGGGGACTCAGCCGGCGTGCCACTGTTTGTTTTCCTTTTCCACCTGCACCTAAAGTGTATAATGATGATGATGATGATTCAAGAGGTGCCTTCATACACGCAATTGTAAACTGTCGCCCGTATCTTAGAAAAAGATCAAAAGACATTATACGAAAATCAATACATTAATCTCATTCCCAGTGGATCGGGAAAGGGCTCTAAGGCATCCAGTTTCACTCTTAACCAAGTGTTTGAGCAATGTAATTTACACCAGAGAAATACGAAAGGCGTTTACTTCTATCGCAAGAACGCACCCACTAAACCGATTGTTCCACTCTGTTCTTCGTACTGATCGTTATTTGCGCTCCTCGGAAGCGATTAGAAAAGGGTCGCGGTGGGCAACCAATCACGTGAAGGACCATGAAGAAGGTAACCTCAAGCTTAGCAATCATCAGACAGGTCCGCCTTCAAGCATGGGGACCACGAGCATCGGATTGTCAATGGTTGGATATGCTTGAGATTATGGCGCGCAACAGACATCTGTTACGACAGTGTTGTTTACCTGCATCATTTGGTAGTTAATATATAATCGTACATAAAAACTCAAAAAGGCGTGCGCGAAACATGAAAAATCGTTTTCTTCTGTTTTTTATTTCGTTTTTCTCTATTTCGCCATGGTGCCGATGGCATATTGTTTGTAATCAGAATGTGAATGCATATATAAGCCCTGCACTTGAGGTACGCAGTGGATTGTCGAATAGCGTTACGAGGATGAGTGTCGCTCACCATCGCTGCCTCAATTCTATTCAATGCACACTAACCGTTCTTGCAAAGACTTTCACGCTTTAGGTGTCGAGATATTGACCAGACTACAGTGGTTGGATTGAGAGTATGCGCAGCACATTGTGTCAATGGCCGACAAACGCGATGCTCCGTGGTCAACCTTAGCCAAGCCATCTGGGAGTCGTTCTGTCAGTTGATGTTCGCTTTGAACTTTTAGGATGCAAATTATCGCTGCAGGATTATTAGATGCCTGTTATCACCATTGAACCTTGACGACGGTGAGCTGTACGTAGTGATCCACCTCAAAAAATTGGGAGACGACATATCAGCATAAACGGGCGGCTAGCAGGTAAAAGTTTATGCCGTGCTAGAGACAGGAGTGATTTTTTGAAACGACCATTGTTCTGGTGTCGAAATCGTAGTTCGCCTGTTCCCAAAGGAAGTATGCGAAAGACAAGAATGAAGGCTGTTCTTTAAAGTAGTGAATGTTAACTCCATCAATCGGATGTTGATTTCCCTCAGGTCTCTAGCTATAAATTTGATGACCTGATGCTTGCAAAAACAAGGTTGCATTGCAATATTTCTCTGCAGAGGAAAGCTACAGGCGTATTAAAACAATGTACACTAAAACGTGTGAGGACGCAAAAAGGTAACGAATTTTGCAACCTCGGAAAACAACTTCAGAGCCCTCTACTCTATTTCTGAACAACTCTCCCGCGAATTTCGAAAACAGCTATCTATTGCTGAAGCTATTTATATCCGCCGCCCCAAACCGGAGGTATGCAAAAAATATTTGTACAACCCTTACCGGGGTCCAGAACGGTGGTTACGTGAATATTTGATTCGCACCCTAGTTAAGCTTTAGTTGTGAAAAGGATTTGCCCATGTACCTAATTTACTATTACACATAAGTAAATATTGGTACCTCAGGCTGTTCAGTTGGTGGTAGCAGTGTTCGCTAGACTCGGCAGTTTTGCTTCACCACTCGAGGTGACATCATCAGTGTGCTATTGTGTATCGGAGCGTTACGAGATGTGACAGCGTGAGTTATCGATTTAGCCGTTAGAATTAAACATTATAATCCGTATCAAGCCCCAAGCAGCACACCCAACATGTAATCGTTGTTATGTAAAAGTCAGAATCTGATGAGGTCTACCGAAAAGCATTATTCACCCAGTATGTGAATCATTTTGAAGCGTTCCAGTCTCCATCTGACGAAACAATGAAAATCGGGGTCCAAAGACTTGCAGCCAAAAGAAAGAGCAACGACAAAACTTAAGGGTTGGAAACTACAGAGGAGAAGGTAATGAGGCGCTACTTACTCATATCGATGAATATCAGTCCACTGAGCTGCTGAACAAGCACGAAGGGCTAAAACAGACGACGGTAGAACAGGAAATGTGTAGGCGGATAGGAGAGTTAAAAAGCAAAGCAAACTGGATGAAGCAAAGCGGAGTATTGGGGCAATAGAATTCACGAGTCATTAAATTGTATATTGGCAAGATCTTCGCGTATTCATCCACCTCAGTGAGACAGAATGAACATTATGCTGGACAAAACTGCCAGCTGTCTTTCACAAAGCATACTTTAATGCCTCTGAGATTGCGCAGTGTAAGTTAAGGACGCAACGCTTAAACTCGCGCTTGCTAGAGACAATAGTCGTAGGGCACATCATGGTTTTTGGCTTCCTGTTTATGCACACAGCGTCCGTGAGAATTTTGTGATCATCTTGCGGCTGAAGTGTAGTCACGCGTCTATACATACAGAACGCTACGACCACGTGACTTGTAAATAGTTGCTCACAAGGAAGTATTATGTGGTTTTGAATGGTGTAAACAGATATTCATCCCAACTAGATTCAGTCAGACAGTCATCACATGACCGGAAAAGCACTGCACGGCCGTTTCATCCTTTCGCGAATCGTCAACGTTGTGCGTTTAATCCCTGATGGGCATTGCTGTATAACATCTAGTAACTTCGTCACGCCGATCGCGCCGTCCCCGTAGCTCATTGGTAGTAACCATACACTGTTAACAGTAGAGCTGCGAGGTCGTACAGTGTCTTTTCCGGTGTGTTATGGCTGTCTGAGTCCAAATGTGATAAATGTCTACTGATAAATAGCTGCTCCTTAAACTGTAGTAAGCTTTTCTCACAGAGCACACAGAGCAACCTAGCTACCGGGCAAACAGCTTGTGTAATCGGGCGTGCAAACATTTCCCCCCCCCCGACTTGCTACGTTTGGTGTTCCCATTGAGGTATCCAAAGCCCAACATTGCTTCGTCTACTAATCAACGACGTGCTGAATATGCTATTTGATGACAGCATATGCTGAAGAGTGCCAATATTGTTGGGGATCGAGGGCTCCAAATAGAAGCGCATGAGCTGCAGGCTTCTACTTGGTTGAACATGGACCCGTTAACGTGGTGGGAACCATGCTCTGGGATTGCATACGAGTCAAAACCAGATCAAAAATGCTTATCAAAACAAGCAGGAGGATGGATAGGACCTGGGGAACTGAAAATTGGAGGAATGAGCATGAATTTGGAAAAATCGTGCGGAATCCAAGTGGGAAGACGACAGCAGTAGCATTCTCATTCTCATCTATTCTGCTTGATGTAGTCGATAGGACGTCGCTGATAATCGTCAGCGACGGCCAGAGTACCAAGAAATTGCCTAGAGAGGGAGTCATTGGGTTACACAGGAAGGACACTGTCAGACTGCTCAGGCCTTGTTAGGAGAACGATTAGGGTGCTCAATAAAAGCCTTTGCTTTAACAACCTGATCCCAAGGCAGTGGGTTAGAAAGAGACCGTGCTAATAAAGAGCCACCTTCACTATAACTCCAAGCTTGCGTGGGTCAAGAGACTGAGCATGTCTGGCCTCTAATCATTGACCGGTTGGTATGTGCGGCACAGTTCAATGGATCGCTGATGATAGTAAACCATCGTTAAGGTCCAATGTCAGTGCGATCTTCTACGTAGGCGGCAGCAGAAGAGAATTACCTTATGCATCATAAACTTATTAGCTGGTTCTTTCCTTTTAATTTATGTTTGAATGTTAATGAAACATCAGCATAATTTATGAAGTAGGTGCAGAGAACGATAAAAACTGGGGACTCAGTAATCCGATTAGTACTCTTTTAAGTGACTTTACTGTTGAAGATGAACCGATGCTGCCACCTGAAGCGTTCAGTCGATGACATGGAGAATAGAAGCGAATCAGAGACGCAGCAGTAATTTGCTATTCGGAGGCGCGAACCGCATGCAGAGATGCGCAGTGTTGTGTATCAACCTGATGATCAACATCAGCATAGTGGGCTAGCCAATCAGTCGTCATAGAAAATGCAAGCAGACCGGAGCCGTGATACACAATAAAAGCTAGATGAAGAAACCTCAGAAAACCTTAGGTGTGACTTACATGGTATAGTAAGATAAATAAAGCCTTACTGCGTGTGACTTCAAGCCAATGAACGTCGAAGCACTAATACTCCTCACAATAGATAATAATGACCCTGAAATAAAAGAAAGAGCAAGATAGCAGTATGTAGAGATTCCGGTAGCTAAACCAAAGATGAACACCAGATCAACGAAGATGATCAGCACGGGCAGGTTTCATTTGAAGTCACCTTTGAGTATAGACATTCCTGAGCCAATAGCCGCTATGGCCAGCAAGAAAGCTGAGCGAGTCACGTGAACAGGCGAGAAGGCCATCAAGCAAGAGTTCAATATGAGGATGGACTTTGGTGGAGTACAATAGTTAGCCTGACTGTGATACATGGGCCAAGCGGAGTTGCTTCAAAGTCGCATGGATGAATAGTTTGTGGCCATACATCAAGTAAATTAGGCGTTCGAGTCAATTTTGTGGGCGGTTGCGAGGACAATGGTAAAACAAACAATCAAAGTAGTAAACTGGGGACAAACATTTAGCGGTTATAAAAACGGATATCGTTGACGGCGAGACAGCGTAGCTGCTGTTCGGTGGCTTGCTACCACTAGCCCTAAGCTCCATTGTTGTTAAGCAGAAAGACGGCATCTTGAACATACTATGTAGCAAATGACTGCGGTGGGAAGACATATCTGTTGCTGTGTCGAGCCCAGCGACTGCTTCCATCCATTAACGGTAAAGATCATACGAACTAGCAAAAACAGGATTCAGAGTTGCTTTTATAGAAGAATGGCATCGTTACATGGCATGACGCGTAAATGTAAAAACCAACTAGAGCGTTGAAAGTGAGCGAACAAACAAAGCCAACAAGGACCGAGTACAAAAAGAAACCAATTAGATGTACACATAAAAAGTGATGGCGCTAGCGTCGGAGTAGGACTGAGATTCGCAGGTAAAAACAACGATTCTAAACGAATAGGTTAGGACAAACGTCAGTGAGTGGGCACAACGAAATAAAACAGTTATAAACGTTTACGTAAGCATATATAAATTATTGTCTATCCTCTAAGCGTAAGGGTTCCATGAATGGAAGCCACAGTGTTCAAATAAACTAATATGAAGCCCGCAGATCCACTCTCAGTCTGAATTTGGTGCTATTGCTAGGTAACTAGAATCGGAGGGTGCTGAGCAACGTTGATAAGTGGTGGAAGCGAGAAATTCAAATCTAAACGACCATTTTCAGAAGAAAAAGCTATCCATTGAGTAATTAGTAACCGCTTCATTTATTCAGTGTTCCGCGATAGAGGCCGTAATCATAAGACCGAAACGGATAAACTCTAGGGGTATTTGTAATCTCTCATACAATACGTTAAAAATATGGACATCGCGATGATATGAACGCCCGAGTGCGACAAATGGAGTTGGTAAAATTCCTGGAAGGTTGCTACGAGGTCAATTCTTGTCAGCTTGACGACAGTGAGTACCATTAAAGATCATATACTGACCACAATTTCAATAGCAAGGGCCCAGAATACCACCACGGATATTCGCGCTGCGGTACTAATCATCATCATTAACCTTTAGCTGAAGGTGAGAAACATCAATTAGTGTGCTGCAATACAAAAAGATAAAATTAAGGAAAAAGTGACATTAAACAATGTGGGATACCAAAAAACAGGTAGCACACTGCTTAGTGACATAGTATGCTTCAAGAGGGAGATCGTGTTAGGAAGGGAGAAAAAGCAGGGTAGGGTAGGACAAAGATAGTCACATAACAAACGCCACCGAGGGCAACCTTTTGCCTTGTCAACTAGTGTGTACAACCAGACATGTTCATCGTGCTTCGGTCCCTGGGCCGGCAGTCGACAGACAGCAACCGACGCCAAATGCGAAGCGAGGGCCTTCAGACCCCGTGACCAAGTCATCGCTTGGCCTTCCCTTCTCCCCTTTCATTGACATCTCAGGCGCACAAATAACGCATGTCGCATGAATCGGTGTGCTGGCTTGTGCAACATAGAGCTCAGCTATCGTAGCCTGGTGCGCGATATAACGGCGCTGAGCGGTTCACTCGCTCTTCCTGCACCCAATAGACGACGTCGAACACGCTCATTGCTCACGCGGTGTGCCCACCAGACATGAGTTAAGCTGCGAAGGTAGTGATGATCGACCATGACTAGCCTCTTCTGTCTGTCTACTTGATGGGTCAACTTTCGCAACCGTACAATAGGGTTGAACGGACGGCTATATTGCAAACTCTGCCTTTCAGTGCGAGAGTGATATCGCACCGGCGACACTAGTGGCGGACATTGTCAAAAACGTCCGAGCTTTTGCTATACGGCTCGTGACCTCATCTTCGATCCCACGGGCGCTAATATAGCTTCCTAGATGTGAATTTCTGGACGAACTCTAGTTGATCATCAGCAAGAGTAAGCAAAGAGGGCGGTCCCTGTCAATTTCGAAGAATGACTTCGCATTTCGATGGTGCAAAGCATAGCCCGAAACTAATGACAGTCAGAGCTAATTTAGTGCTACATGGTTAGTTTGGGAGCTGTCACAGATAAGGGTAATATTGTCGCCGTACTCTAAGCTAAGAAATCGATCACTTGGGAGCAGCTCCACCCCTTCCAAGTTGTGTCCAATGAATGCAACTTCCATGACTTCGTCAATGACAGTTAAAAAGGAAAGGCGACAGCAGGTAACATTGAAGTGAGACCACAACTATCCTGTTCCATGGCGACGCTCACCGTCCGTGCTTCAGGAGATATAAATCAGCAACTTGTACCTGTACATACGCTTAATGACCTAGATGTGCTGTTTCTATGACACTAGTTGCCCGTATCAGTTGTGGAGGTAGCAATCACGAACAAAACTTGGAATCGTCTGCAGCTCCATGAACGAGTCGTCGCCTATTGACTAGGGTTCATGCAAACAACCGTTTGTGTAAGCCGTTCGACAAGAGCATAAGATAGCAAAAAGCGCTGGTTGTTCGAGATTGCCATATACACAACGACAGCTTGCAGTTCTCGGCCAAATGTAGGTGAACAAGCGTTGGTCGCGTAAAACAAACAGATCCCAGTAATTGGAGTTTAGAGTTATCAATAACGAAGGAAGAGTTTGCACATGATGTTGACACCCTGAGCAAGCAGTTCTAAGTCCTCCAATTAATTAGCTAGCTACAACCCCTAAACGGATGGCAAGATTTCAAATTTTTCTTACAATACTTCTTGAGATGACTTTTATATTGCTGTCACTTTCTCTTGTTTATTTGATTCTTTTGTTAGCAATTCACAGAATGGGTGCCCAGAAAACTGCCAATACACTGCATGCGGATACTGACTGTTTAACCATGGTGTGATTGAAACATGTCGATTGGGTTTTCCTCCATCATAAACTACGAGTTTTAGCCCGTCCAAAAGGTGCACTCTAGGTAAGGTCAAACGAATTCGTTTCCATAGATGGTACTTGTATTTGCTTAACGGGTATCCCGTTTCGTGTCTCAGTAAGAAACCCAGGACCCCACAGATTCGTCGATCGGTCAGCGTTGCATTCCGGACACTGTCCGCTACTCTTAACAACATAATCACTCGCAATAGTGAATTAAGGCAGCTGGAGTGGCTCGAATCAGGAAGGGCTAGAAAATAAACTAGTGCACGTAATCGCGGCCGTGAGATGCCAGGTCAGTAAAACTCAAACTTAAGTTCAGATAGAACGGCCAGGATGTTGCTTGGCAGCAATACTTGCAAGCAAGCAGAGCCAGATCAATACGCGCGAATAACAATATGGTCAACATCATCATCATCATACTACACGTTAGCTGGAGGTGGGGAACACCTCAGCTACTGTGCCGCAATAAACAGAAAAAAGAAAAAAAATGCAACTGGTGCAAGCCGGCTGAGCTACTGGTAACGGATGGGCATCGTTCCGGTAAGCTACCAACCGGCTACTGTGCATCAAAAAATTACTATGCAGAATTGCATAAAATTAAATAATGAGATCGTGATTGGAGGGGGAGGTTAAGAGAGATGGGGTGGGACAAAGAAACTCACAGCACGAGCCCCACTGAGGTCGGCTCCTAGCCACATCAGCAAGTGTGTCCAACCAAACGTGTTCATCGTCTTTCGGACCCCAACCAGGGAGCCGAGACGCTCCAACCGAGGCCAGCTCAGAAGGGAGGACCTTCATTCCTCTGGACCAAGTCATCGCTTGGCCACCCCTCCTCTTCTTCCATTCACACCCCCGGCACGCAAACAACACACGTCGCGGGAGTCAATGGGCTGGCATGAGTAACACGTGGCCGAGCCATCGGAGCCTGGTGCGTGATATAATGGTGCTGAGCGGTTCATTTCCTTTTCCTGTGTCATAAACAAGGCGTCGAACACGCTCGTTGCTCACACGGTGTTCCCACCAGATGTGAGCTAAATCACGAAGGCACCGGTGGTCGAACCTAAGTAGCTTCTTTATGTCCGCTAATCTAAGGCGCCAGGTTTCACAACCGTAAAGTATGGTCGAACGTACAGCTGCATGGTACACTCTACTCTTCAGGGCAAGAGTGATGTCGCGCCGGCGCCATAAGTGGCGAAGGTTAGCAAAAGCGCACCGAGCTTTTGCTATACGATTCGTGATTTCATCTTCAATCCCACGGGCGCTGATACAACTTCCCAGGTAGTTGAGTTTTTAAACGACTTCTAGCTGATCCCCACCAAAGTTCAGAATAGGAGGCGGTCCAGACCAATCTTGGAGGAACGCTTTGCACTTCGAGGGTGCGAAGCAAAGCCTGAAGTGACGGACAGCTAGTGCTAATCTGTCCAGTGCCGCCTGACACGTTTGTGAGCTGTCACAGATTAGGGCAATATCATCAGCATACTCCAAGTCAAGAAGTCGTTCTCCTGGGAGTAGCTCCACACCTTCTAAGTCGTGTCCTCTGAACGCGATTTCCATGACTTCGTCAACAGCGAAGTTGAAGAGGAAAGGTGACATCGGGCATCCTTGTCTCACGCCGCTAGAGATATTCAACGGCGACGACAACTTGCCGTACGCACTCACTCTGCCCGAGGTACGCGCATATAACGCTCGGATAATATTCACATATTTCTCAGGGACACCTTTCCTGAGTAAACAGTCCCAAAGTGCATGTCTATCCACCGAATCGAATGCACCTTTGATATCGAGGAACACGACAATGGTGGGCCGCCAATATATGTGACGGTGCTCCAACAAATGACGCAAGGTGAAGATGTGGTCAACGCAGCCATGACCTCGACGAAATCCAGTTTGCTCTTGACGAATATGGCTTTCACGAGTGCCAGTCAGTCTGTGAAGGATGGCAGAAGCAAGCCATTTGGAGGCGATGGATATCAGACTGATTCTTCTGTGGCTGACGCATTCCAAACGT